CTTAGCAGAAAACCTAAAGCATTGAATGCCTATATAGAAAAGAAGAAAGATCTAAAATCAATAATCTAAGCTTCCACTTGAAGTAAGTAAAAAAAGAATGGTAAATTAGCCCGCCCAAAAAGCAGAAGAAAATAAATAATAAAAATTAGGGCAGAAATCAGTTAAATTGAAACCAGGAACTCAATAGAGAAAAATAAGTAAAACCAAAAACTGATTCTTTGAAATTATCTATAAAATTGGCAAACCTCTAGCCAGGCTAACTAAAATTTTAAGACACAAATTACTAATATCACCAGCAGTGAATAATTGGAACTTGAAATTAAAAAGCACAGTAACATTTATATGAGCACCAAAGCGTGAAATAGGTATAAGTAGAATAAAATATGTACAAGATCTGATGAAAGAACTCAAAGAACTAAGTAAGTGGAAAGATATTCCACGTTCACGTAAAGGGAGACTCAGTATTGAGATGTCAGTGCTTCCCACCTAGATCTATAGATTCCACATGATCCCAATCAAAATCTCAATAAGTTATTTTGTAGATATCAACAAACTGATTATAAAATTTATACAGAGGCAAAAAACTCAGAATGGCCAACACAGTATTGCAGGAGAATAAAATTGGAGGATACTACCAGAGTTCAAGAAATACTGTAAAGCTATAATAATCAAGATAGAATAGTGCTGGTGAAAGAATAGACAAATATATCAAAGGAACAGAATAGCAAGACCAGAAATAGACCCAGAGAGTTCACTGGTCTTTGACAGAGGAAAAAAAGCAATTTTATGGAGAAAGGATAGTATTTTCAACAAATGGTGCTGGCACAACTGGACATCCATGTGCAAAAGATAAAAAACCTGAATCTATACACAGACCTTACACCTTCTACAAAAACTAACTCAAGCCACAGACGGGGAATAGATCTTTATAAAACAAACATCTGATGAAGGACTAGTATCCAAAATATAAAGAACTCTCAAGACTCAACAGTAATAAAACAACCCAATTTTTTAAATGGGAAAAATAGGTACCTCACCAAAGAAAATATAGAGAAGGCTAATGAGCATATGAAAAGATGCTCAATAGTATGTGTCATTAGGGAATTGCAAATTAAAACGAGATGCTACCACACACTTATTAAATGGCTAAAATCCAAAACAACAACAGCACCACATGCTGGCAAGGATATGGAACAACAGGAACTCTCACTTGGTGGTGGAAATGCAAAATAGTACTTTGGAAGACAGTTTGGCAATTTCTTGGGAAACCAGGCATGCAATCCTTGGCATTTACCCAAATGAATCGAAAACTTATTTCCACACAGAACCTGCACATGAATGTTTATAATAACTTTACTCATGATTGCCAAAACTTGAAAGCAACCAAGATGCCTTTCAATAGGTAAAAGATAAACAAACTGTGATACATCCAGACAATGGAATATTATTCAGTGCTAAAAAGAAATGAGCTATGAAACCATGGAAAGACATAGTTTAAGGAGGAACCTTAAATGCACATTGCTAAGTGAAAGAAGCCAATCTGAAAAGGTTACATACTGTATGATTCCAACTGTATAACATTCTGGAAAAAGCAAAACTATAGAGACAGTAAAAGGATTAGTGGTTGTCAATAGTTGGGGGTTGGGAAGGGGGGTGAATAGGTAAGCGTACAAAGGAGTTTTAGGGCAGTTAAACTATTCTTCCTGAATGTGTAACATAAAGAGAGCACCCTAATGTAAACTATGAACTTAGATTAATAATATATCAATATTGTAATAATGTACAATTATAATAAATGTCCCATGCTAATGCAAGATGTTAATAACGGGAAATTATGTGTTGAAGGGGCTATATGAGAACTCTGTTCTTTCCGCTCAATTTTTCTGTAATTCTATCATTGTTCTAAAAAAAATAAAGTATTATTTTCTAAAAAATAACTTGAACTATGATTATTTAATACGAACACAGATAAAATGTATTGTGTGCATCATAAAATCAAGATTCTTGTGAAGACTGGCTAACACTTCCATCTGACCTATAATAAAAGGGCTAACTTGGAATTGCCTTTAATTGTCAAATTTATTTTGCCATCATCAGAAATCAAGTATATGAACTGACATTCAAATATTTTAATGGAGCAATAAAAGGTACCCAAACTGCTTTGCTATGAAAGGCAAATAAAAAGTAGAAATAATTTAACACTCTTTGGCATCCTTTGACTTACATAGTATGTCATTTAAAAATTATTGAAATTACATTACATACTCTTGCTATGAAAATTTGGTTATTGCTGAGTAATTTAATTGTTATTTTTTTCTAGCTAAGTAATTGCAAAGATGTGAAGTATAATACAAAATATTAATTCAGAAGCTCTCAGTGAGCTGAGAGATTTGTGTAGCAATTTTGCCCTTTAAATATATGGAGCTATAATCTTGGATATTTCACATATGTAAAATATATATTGTAGTCATTAACCCAGCACAACCAATGAGTTGAACATTCTAATGAGCTCATTGAAACCACCAAGGATAGCGTTTTTTATTGGTTTCCCTTTGTAAAATATCATACTCTGCTATTTAAAGTAACCTCTAGATTGGTTGAAAATCAATAGACATTTATTTGCGCAGCAAAGACAATATTCTGTTATGAAAATTAAGTAGATTGGGTTTTCCCCTTTCTTAGTAGGGCCATTCATCTCTAAGTAGAGGGTTGCCTCTGATCAAGGATAACATTTTTCTCAGTACAGGGTCTTTGTCCAGTTTGTTGGACAAATTCAAGTTTGGGATGAGGCTCTAGAGCAGTGGTTCTCAACCTTGGCTGCACATTAGAATCACCTGGGAATCTTTTTAAAATCCTGATTTCTGGGCCTCATCCTCCGGAAATTCTGTTTCTTTGTTAAAAATCAGGATTTTAAAAAGATTCCCAGGTGATTCTAATGTGCAGCCAAGGTTGAGAACCACTGCTCTAGAGAGTCCTGCACCATACAGCTTGGCAGATGTAAAGGCAAATGTAAACAGATTTCTACAGGCAGGTGGGGGGGGGGGGGGGGCGGGTGGAGGCTGTGAAAAGTGGCTATTTCTCCCAGTAGAAGGTCTGATTTTCTGATTTTGAATAGCATTGCCTCCTGCTGGGCCTAAGGACGGAAGAATTGGTTTAAGTATCTGGTACATTAACTCGGTAAACATCCTCAGATATTCTGCTTCACAATCTCTACTTAAGAGAACTCAACTTGCCGTAACCGGTTTGGCTCAGTGGATGGAGCGTCGGCCTGCGGACTGAAAGGTCCCGGGTTCGATTCCGGTCAAGGGCATGTACCTTGGTTGCGGGCACATCTCCAGTGGGGAATGTGCAGGAGGCAGCTGATCGATGTTTCTCTCTCGTCGATGTTTCTGGCTCTCTATCTCTCTCCCTTCCTCTCTGTAAAAAATCAATAAAATATATAAAAAAAAAAAAAAAAAGAGAACTCAACTGTATTCACTAAACCATCCCAAACCCTATACTTGAAGCCCTGATATGTTCCTCTGGCTTCAATCACAAATCTAAAGGCACTTGCTGAAATCTCCAGAGCATCCCCACCGCCTAAATTTATCATCTCTTCCCCTGTCCAAAACAAGGGGAAGAGATGATAGATTCCTTTAGACTTCTAGTCCATTTCTACAATTCCGCCAGTTTCTCCTGGGTATTGCCAACATGGCCACTGTCCTCTCCTTTTCCTGCCAAAAGTAACTTTCCTTTGGTCAGTTACTAAAGCAAACAGGTTTTCCTTCATAATGTTTCCTATTTGTCCCTTCCCTTCAACTCTTATAGCCTGGGACTATGGCAATTTTCTAATGTGCTTCTCTGCCTTCAGTTTCTGGTACATTCAGTTCCTGAGTACCTGTCAATCTCCCTCAGCAAAGTCTATAAAGTAGTAATGCCCTAGCCACTGTTGCGAAGTGGATAGTGCCTGGTCCCAGGCACTGCAGGGTCGCAGGTTTGATTCCTGGTCAAGGGCACGGTAACTGGGTTGCAGGTCCCATCCCTGCCCCAGTTGGGGTGCCTGTGGGAGGCAACCAATCTCTCTCTCTCTCCCTCCCTCTCTCTCACCTTCCTCCCTCCATCCCTCCTCCCATCCTTCCACTCTCTAAAAAGCAATGGAAAAAAATATCCTCAGGTGAGGATTAACAAAAAAACAAAACAAAGAAAGTAGTAAGAATATTGTATGTGTATTTTCAAGGTTTTCTCAATCCTCACAATGCCCTATAAAATAGCTATTACTATCCACTTTGCAGATGAGTAAGTTGGGGCTCTGAGAGGTTACGTAATTTACCCAAGGTTGCACAGTTGGTATGTGGCAGTTACAAATCTAAGTCTTAATTAACTAGAGTCTAAGCACGTAGCCACTCTTTTCTCCTCCCCCACCTGCTCAAACACGGTCTTTTTATAAAAATGAAAATAAACTTGACCTGGAGTTCATCATCCACATAATTCGTTTTACCTACTTATTTTAATGTTTCTCGCTCGTCTCCTTTGTTGCCTCCTCTTCCACAAGATTGGTACTCATTAGTAGTCGCCTTATGTTAATGACGCATACATCTTATCTACCAAATTAGACTGTAAATTCCTAGTATATGGATCACGTCTTTGCTCAACACTTTCTATACCTGAGGCAATAGAAAGAGAAAATGAGGCTCAGGATTGGATGACACAGGCCCGGAGCGGGTTAGGAACTGAGTTTTGACCTCATGTAGAAATACCATCTGAGAATACTTACACTCCGTGGCGCTGGAGGACACCAAAACACTTTATTTTACCTAAAGGTGCCCAGGACTTCACCGAAGTTCCCTTGCCCCCAACGAAGAGGACTCCGGTCACGTGAACCAATCAGGCTGCTCTCCGTACGAATCGTTCCTCCACCCCCCTCCCCAGTCGTTTCCTCCAAGGGCTCTGACGCAGCCAATCAGCTCTCCTCTAGCCGGCGTGCGTCCGACGTCAGAGACCGGTGGGGTCTAGTTGGAATTTTGGCGGGCCTGGCTGTAGAAGGAAGGCACGGACCGGTGAGAAGCCCGGCCTGGGCGTGTGAGTGGCTCTCGGGCGGCGGGGTAGACGTCCCGCCACGCGCGTCTGTGGTAGAGGTGAGAGCTCCGGGAGCGAGAGCGCGGAGCCCGCGGGCGCTCGGGTGAGGAAGGCGGGGGCGGCGGCGGCCGCGGGAGGGCGCGACCGGGAGGTCCGGGGGTGAGCAGTGGCGGGGCACGTCGGAGATGCCGTTTACTTTCGTTAGGGGAGCAGTGTTTTCTTTCTTTAAAGTAACCTTTAAAACGCTTGCCAGGTGCATGCCGTTTGGACTTCTGTTATTTGTTCATTTTTAAAAGTCACAATAATAAATGTTGAGTATGTGCCGTGTACCGGGCTCCAAACACTCATTACTTACGCCCCGTGACGCCTGCAGTCCAAAGAGGATAAAGCAAGTACACGGTAGTGCAGTACAGCCATGGGAAGGGTGAGTTGAGAGGGAGGCGGGAAGGCTTAGAAAAATGGTGTTTCCGCGGCGGGGGAGAGCTTCCCGAAGGGCCCGCGGCCTGCGAGCGCGCTTGTGTTCACGAAGGCGAATGCCGGCGTCTTGCGGGAACATGTTTGCGGGGTGGGTAGAGCGGAGCGGAGTGGACCCGCAGAAAAGATGAGGAAGTAGAAGTAGAGAGTACCCATTGCCTCGTTGGCTTTGTAACATTTTTGCTAAGGGCCATGGAAGGTCATTAAAGAATTTCTATTAAAGGAATACCACTATTGGATTTCTGTTTCTAAAAGTTTTCTAAGGAAAGAAAAGGTTACTGTGGCTGTTGTACCAAAACTAGATTACAGAAGGCCAAAGAGACCAATGCAGTAGTCGGGGCAAAAGATTGATAGTGGCTTGGACTAGGCTTTTGGCAGTAAAATGGGGGAGGAGTGGAAGTTTTGAGCAATGTTGTGAGGATAAGAACCATAGCACTTGTCAGATGGCCCTAGATATGAGGGTGAGGAAAAGGCATGGGTTTGGGTGAAAGGGTGGTTGGCTATAGAAATGAACAAGATAGTTTCCGCTTTCTAAACTCCCGAGGAGCTTACGACCCAGCAGATTCCCCAATAGACAGCACAGTAATACTGTTTACAGTTTGTTCCATCCAGCAGATTCCCCAATAGACAGCACAGTAATACTGTTTACAGTTTGTTTCATCCATGTATTCTAGTATCATACTCCTCTGTACCTCACCTGAGTTTCTACAACCATAGTTTGCAAAAAAAGAAAAAGGGAACTGCTTCCACACTAGGAGGAAGATGGTGTTGGCGGTAGGGGTGAGAATGGTCAGATTCCGAATGGATTCTAGGATTGCAGTCCCTAGGAATTGTAGGATTCTGGACTTTTTGGATGTGCAGTGTGTGCAAGAGAGAACCAAGGGTGACTTCTCTTGGTTTCACAGAGCCAAGATCCTGCATTACTGCCATCTCCTGGGCACCTGGTCCTCCTTGGAAGTTCACTCTCGCCACTGTTCCCTAGACAACATGGATGGTAAGTCCTGGCAGTTCTCTCAGTTTTCTTTTGTTTTTAGAAAATTATCCTTTGTGGATTTGTTGTTTATTCTACTTGCAAAATAGTGAAAATAGCTGCCCCACCCTCAGGTGTTGTCTAAGTGGGTCACTTCAGTCACTGAATGTTACTTGTTTTAATCAGGTGGGATTTATTTATTTTAAAATATATTTTTATTGATTGAAATAAAATATATATTTTATTTCAGAGAGGAAGGGAGAGGGAGAGAGAGAGAGATACATCAATGATGAAAGAGAATCATTGATCTGCTGCCTCCTGCACGCCCCCTACTGGGGATTCAGGCCACAACCGGAGCATGTGCCCTTGACCAGAATCGAACCTGGTACCCTTCAGTCTGCAGGCGGATGCTCTATCCACTGAGCCAAACCAGCTAGGTCTAATCAGGTGGGATTTATTCTGGCATTACTGGTTGTCTTTCATAATAATGATGATAGCTGGCATGTACTTACAATGTGCCAAGTGCTTGCTCTAAGATCCTTAATTATATTAACTAACATAATCCTCATAGCAACTGTGTTTTGGAAACAGAAAGACCAGTGTCAGAGCAGGGATTTGAACCCAGGCAGTCTCAGAGTTCACATTTAATATTGAAGTCTGTTGAGCCCAGGCTGGGTTGCTCAGTTGGTTAGAGTGTCAATCTCATACATTAAGGTTACAGGTTTGATCCCCCCCCACCCCCCCACCCCCCCCCCCCGGGCAGAGGCACATACAAAAATCAATCAATGAATGCATAAATAAGTAGAACAACAAATTAATGTGTTTTTCTTCTCTCCCTTTCTCTCCCTCCTTCGCTCCCCCCTCTCCCTCTCCCAATCTACCTCCTTCCCTCCTTCTCTTCCCCACTCTGTCTCTAAAAATCTATAAGTAAAAGAAATCTGTTGAAGTGGTTTTAGTCTAGCTCTGTCTTAAATTATTATAGTCCTTTCTAGTTTTGTTCATTTTGCAGGAATGTGTGCAAATATTTACTTAAGAAATGTTGTTCTAATTAGCAGAGCTTAGCCAGGGAGCAGCACAAAACTGAGGATCCTGTATAATAAAAGGCTAATATGCAAATTGTCCCCTCAACCGGGAGTGCGACCAAGGGACAGGGCCGGCCAGCCAACCACCTGAAGCCCCTCCCCCCGGCCAGCCCAGCCCAATCACCCCGATTGGGGCGGGCGGGCCAGACCCCACCCGTGTACGAATTCATGCACCAGGCCTCTAGTAACATAAAATGCATTCTTTTTCTAGTTGTATAATTGAGCTCACTGTCTGAAACTGTATTTTTTTAATCCAAGTTTATTATACATTGTCCTTTTTTTAAAAAAAAAGTACAATTCAGTGTTGTTGAAATTCATTACACTGTGATATTATGTGAAATTGATTGCACATTAGTATAATGATAGTTTCTTGTTTCCTAAAATCATCACAAATTACCTTTATGTAATACAGAGTGTAATTTTTTTGCTATGAGAAGGTCGGGAAAATAAGTGGTGAATGGGTATGTGTTCTCTAAGAAGTCATTGTAGCTAATAAAATCCCATTTGGTTGGCATGGCCTTACAATTTGATCCAGTATAAATTAAATCAAAATGTTTCCTGGTGCTAGAGTTTCCTGAACAACATTCCTGCTTACATTCTAGTAGAGATAACAAGATAACAAACAAGTAAGTAGAAAAATATCTGTTAGTTGATAGGATGGGAGACACTGGAATGAGTTTGTATGCTGAGAGAAATGCTCCAGAAAGTGGAAAAATTGGTGATGTGGGAGAGAGAGAGAGTTTTGGGGAAGCTGGGAGTAATGGGTTCAGGTTAATAAATGGAAGAACTGGCCATAAATAGGACTAGACACTTCATCCATTTTCATAGGAGGAAAAGCAGAGAATATATGTTCAAGTTTAGTAGTGAAAGATGATGGAATCTGTTTGCTTCCTTTGTTTGTTTTTTTAAGTGTGAGACAAGATCAGCTAAGAGTAAAGATGGAGGATAGACATTAGAGGTTTGAGAAGTGGCTGAAGTGGTTAGAAAATAGGAAAGCAATTATTAGGGAAATGTGGGGATTTTTAAGCACTACTGAATGCTTATTTGTTCTTGGCAGTATATATTTAAAGTTTAACCAATCAGTATGGCGATCTTTTTCTAGGAAAGTTCACCGGTTGGGGTGCAGGCATGGAAGTAGCAGTCTGTTGGCTTTAATCAAGGTCAACATTCATAAAATTTTAGAAATTGTATAAAGATTGAAGTTTAGAAAATATTCACAATGATATATATCCTATCTAATAAAAGAGAAACTGGTAATTAGTGTACAACCGCTACCCTTCCCATTGGCTAATCAGGGAGACATGCAAATTAACTGCCAGCCAAGATGGCGGCCGGCAGCCAGACAGCTGGAAGCGAACATGAGGCTTGTTTGCTTCAGTGACGGAGGACTCCACCGTTCCCCGCCTGCCTTGCCGGCCTCTGAGCTTGCAGTTTGAAACATTGTAACAAATATAGAAGCTAAACAAAACCCCAGAAACCTGCTTTCATCCGGCCAGGAAATCAGAGCTGGTGTTATACATTGTTTCGAGTATAGAACCGAAACAAACCAGATACCTGCTTTCAGCAGCAGGGGCCTCAGAGCTGGAGCCAGAGCTAAATCTGGCCCAGAATTAAAAAAAAGAAAAAGAAAAAAAGGATCAGTTGGGAGCTTCAGTCACCCGCCAGCCTGAAAACAGCCCTCAGCCCCTCACCCAGACTGGCCAGGCACCCCAATGGGGACCCCCACCCTGAAGGGTGTGTGACCAGCTGCAAACAGCCATCATCCCCTCATCCAGGCTGGCCAGGCACCCCAGTGGGGACCCCCACCCTGAAGGGTGTGTGACCAGCTGCAAACAGCCATCATCCCCTCACCCAGGCTGGCCAGGCACCCCAGTGGGGACCCCCACCCTGATCCAGGACACCCTTCAGGGCCAACCAGCCAGCCCCACCCAAGCACCAGGCCTCTATCCTATATAGTAAAAGGGTAATATGCCTCCCAGCACCGGGATCAGCGTGACAGGGGGCAGCGCCCAAACCCCCTGATCGCCCTGCGGCTCTGTGTGTGACAGGGGGCGGGGCCACAACCTCCCTATCCGCCCTGCTCTGTTCGTGACAGGCTGCGGCGCCCCAACCCCCTGATCAGCCCTGCTCTGTGTGTGAGAGGGTGTGGCACCCCACGGGCCCTGCTCTGTGTGTGACAGGGTAGAGCCATAACCTCCCCATCGGCCCTGCCCTGAGTGTGAGAGTGGCGGTGCCCCAACCCCCTGATTGGCCCTGCTCTGTGGGTGATAGAGGGCGGCGCCCCAATTTCCCCCCCCCTCCCACGGGCCCTGCTCTGTGGGTGATAGAGGGCGGCGCCCCAATTCCCCCCCCCCCCCCCACGGGCCCTGCTCTGTGTGTGATGGGGTAGAGCCATAACCTCCCCATCAGCCCTGCCCTGAGTGTGACAGTGGCGGCGCCCCAACCCCCTGATCGGCCCTGCTCTGTGGGTGATAGAGGGCGGCGCCCCAACCCCCTGATCCGCCCTGCTCTGTGTGTGACGGGGGGCGGTGCCCCAACTCCCCTATCGGCCCTACTCTGTGAGTGACAGGGGGGAGCTCCTCAACCCCCAGATGGACCCTGCTCTGTGCGTGACAGGGGGGAGCTCCCCAACCCCCTGATGGGCCCTGCTCTGTGCATGACAGGGGGCGGCGCCCCAACTCCCCAATCGGCCCTGCTCTGAGCCCGACCAGGGGCTGCACCTTGAGATTGGGCCTACCCTCTGCCACCTGGGAGCAGGCCTAAGCCAGCAGGGCTTTATCTCCCGAGGAGTCCCAGACTGCGAGAGGGCACAGGCCAGGCTGAGGGACCCCCTCTTCCCCCCCAAGTGCACAAATTTTTGTGCACCGGGCCTCTAGTGTGTGTGTGTGTGTGTGTGTGTGTGTGTGTGTGTGTGTATGTAAATTAGCCAGGACACTGTAACAGTCACGACCAACTCAGGAGGAGGCTGCGTGCGCAGATGGGCGGGAGGGGACTGCGTGCACAATGAGGCAGGCCACAGATGGCACAGGCCCGGAGACAGGGAGGCCTTCCCCAGAGCAGAGACACACACAGGGGGGGCCCCCCTGCCCCAGCAGCCGCGGTGCACCAGCAGTCCCTCCTCTGCGCATGAGCTGTAGAGGAAACACCTTTTCTGACTGCTCATTGGCTAAGCTCCCGGTATCCCACTCACAGTGTTCTTGGCAACTTGGGTAATAAGAATCCAAGGTGATCTAGGGTTTTCCACCTCACTCCTGGAGGAAAAAACAAAGGTCCACTGCTGGAGGGGCTAAGAAATGTCATATCCTGCCCTAGCTGGTTTGGCTCAGTGGATAGAGCCTTGTCCTGCTGACCGCGTTGTCCGGGTTCGATCATGATCAAGGGCATGTACCTAGGTTGCAGGCTTCTCCCTGGCTGAGGCCCAGGTCAGAGTTCATGCAGGAGGCAACCAATCGAAGTATGCCTCTCACATTGATGTTTCTCTCTGTCTTTCCCTCTCTCTTCTATGCTCTCTAAAAATCAGTGGAAAAATATCCTCAGGTGAGGATAAAAAAAAAAAAAAAGAAAGAAAGAAATGTCATATTCTATAAAAGAGACATCTTGAAAATGCATAAAGAAAGTTGTCATTTTTTTGTGGTGAAGGGACTGCAGTCCGTGTTGATGAAAACACCGTGGCGGCCAGCAGTGGCAGCCCCAGCGGAGTGATGCGGGTGGTGCCTTTCCCTGAGCAGCCTGGTTGCCTCCTACAGAGGACATCTCCTGAGGGCTCCCAGACCTAAAGGGGGCAGACTGGGCTGAGGGGACCCCTCCCCCCCCCAGTGTACGAATTTTGTGTACCGGGCTTCTAGTCTATTATAAAAGGCCAATGGCCTTAACGACCAAATGACCGATCACGAGGCAGTGCATTGATGGGTCTCGCGGCGCGGGTCTCGCGGTGTGGCGGTT